CACGGCTATGCCTGCTGCCATATGTCCCAAGTGCTGGCGGCAAAACCTGGCTGGTATTTGTGGGCAGCTTTGAATGGTGTCTATGAGTGTGACTAAGGATAGGAACCTGTGTTGAGGTAAGAGTGCTCTGGCCTGTAACACATTGAGGGTGGCCCCTATGAATTCCAGGCACTGCACTGGAGGGTTGACATCTGGATGTTGATCTGTAGACCAGTTCTGTAAACAAATGTATCATAGTATTGGTGACCTGATGAGCCTCCTGGAGAGATCAGGCTCTGAGGAGACAATTGTCCAAGTATGGGTAAATCATCATCCCTTGAGAGCACAAATGAGTGGCCACCACTGACAGAACCTTGGAAAATACCCACAGGGCCAATGGTAGCCCGAAGAGGAGTACTCTGAATTGGTAGTGGTCGTGTCCCAGAGTGAATCTGAAAAATCGTCTATGAGCCGGTAGGATCAAGATGTGTAAATAGGCATCCTGGAGGTCGAGGGCCAAAAACCAGTCTCCCTGTTCCAATGCTGGAATGATCATTGATAAGGTGATCATCTTGAATTTTTGAGCCTTGACAAACTTCTTGAGAGCTCTGAGGTCTAGTGGGGGTCTCCAACCTCCGTTCCATTTGGTATTAGGACATAAGAGTAGAACCCCTTGCTTCAGATGTTGAGGTATTGGTTCTATGGCTCCTATCTGGAGGAGGTGATCCATCTTGTGTCGTAGTAAACTCTTGTTAGAAGGGTCCCTGAAGAGGGACCGGGAAGGGTGTTGTGGAAGGGGTTCAGACAATCTCTAGGACCCATCATGCTGATGTTATCCATCCCCAGACACTACAGAATGCTGCCAATTGGTGGCCAAATGGGTGTGGAACGATGGTTGGCTGCGTCAGTCAGGGAGAGTGGTCTAACCATGCCTTGACCTGCCCGTCAAAAGTGGCAGATGTAGAGAGCTGGGACAAAGATTATGGGCCAGATGGTTTCTGTTTAGGGAATTTCCATTTCTTTCTTTACAGCTCATAACGGTGCTGAGTTTGGTCCTGAGACGTGTGTGATCTATGCTGGGATTGGGGACTAAATTGTCTCTTTTGTCCAGGTGTACAGATACCCAGTGACTGGAGGGTAGCCCTAGAATCTTTCAGGGTGTGAAGGGAGGTGTCAGTATTCTCGGCAAAGAGCTTTGTGCCCTCAAAGGGAAGGTCCTCAACTGTGGACTGCACCTCATTCAGGCATCCTGGCAAATGAAGCCATGATGCTCGTTGCATCACCACAGCCGTGGAGATAGATCTAGCCCCGGTGTTGGCCATGTCAAGGGCAGATTGCAGAGATGTCTTTGCCACTAATTGGCCCTTCTGGATAATAGCCTTGAATGAGTCATGATATGCTTCTGGCATCTTTTCTGTGAAGTCATTCAGTGTCAAGTAATTTATGTAATCATATTTCGTTGTGAGGGCTTGGTATTTGATATGAAATTGTAGAGTGGTTGAGGAGTACACTTTTCTACCAAACAGATCAAGGCACTTCTAATCCCTGTTATAGGGAGAAGGCCTAGACTAGTGTTGTCGGACACAAGAGTTGACAGCGTCCACCACAGTGGAGTTGGGTGACGGTTGGGAGAATAGGAATTCCGATTCCTTAGTGGGGACATAGTATTTTTTGCCCACTTGCTTGCAGGTCGGGACCATTGATGCCGTAGTTTGCCATACAGTCTTTGCTGGGTTTTAAATGGCCTCATTAATCAGAAGGGCGATCTTTGAGGAGGCCAAAGAATGGAGGATATCAAGGAGTTGATGGTGGGTATCCATGACTTCCTCCAGTGGAATCAGGAGAGTGTCTGCCACCCTCTTTGTCAGTTCCTAAAAGAGATGAAAGTCATCTGCCAAAAATGGTGGAGAAGGCATGATGGCTTTGTCTGGAGGAGGAGGAGGAGGAGGATATGGTCCTTGGAGTCACTTCCTCCTTGGCACCTGCTTCCTGTTCCTTGAAGTCTTGAGGAGGTTCTGAATCCCTGAATGGTGCGGCCCAGGGAGTGCCTCTCGAGGATTCTCAGGCAAGGCTCGGCACTCAAGAGGCATGTTGGCGGTGTGCCGCCCAAGGGTCCCAATTTGGCGGCATATGGTGGGGGGTGGCATAGAGCCTGGTGGTGCTCATACCAGGACGATGGTGGTGAAGCTATCTGTGGGTATACCCTCGAGTTCTGTTGGTAGTGAGCACCATATGAAGCTTGGGAGGAATATTGCGATACCTCTTCTGGCTTGCTGTCTGAACTGTCGCTGGAAAGCGGAGGAGCATGGCATGACCGTGGGGATATTTCCCATGCTTGGCAGAGGCTTGGTGCAGAGGTCTCAGTACGGAGAGAAGGGGACTCCGGTGCATCTGGCATGTGGACGTCTTTTGAATGGCAGAGTACTGCCTGTACCAATGGTCCTAGCATCTGAGGCAGTGCCAGGGAGACGGGATAGTGTCTGCACCGGTCGCTCCTGCGCCAATTGAGCCATCGCTGGCGATACTGATGCAGGCTCGCATACCAAGAGTGTCTTTTTAGAGGAGTGCTTACTCGTCCTTCGGTGCCAATGATTCGGTACCTGTGCCCATGAGTCCATGGGCCTGTCAGTGGTACCAATTACAGGCAGTTTCTGTGAGCCATGAGTGCCAGACTGAGATGCCTCAGTGCCAAAGATACCAAGTGAGATGGTGATTGCTTGCCGCTATTTTGGGGCTTGCTATGTGGGGGTTCCCGCCCTCTTCTTAGAAGATTTGTGAGAGGGGTCGGCAGCCTGCTTCTTCGACCCACAGCCCTGAGATGTAAAAGGCTGTGGGGAAGGCTCACATCTACCATGTGACTGAGGTCGGAGAACTGCCTCTAAAGATAACCTTCTGGCGGAGTGTTCTTGTAGTCAGGCTACGAGCATGTAGGACAGAGAGTTCCGACTCTGAACATGTGGCGGTAAGAAGGAACTGAAGGAGTGTCGCACCGCACAGCCTCTTATAACCTCACCTGGAGCATGAGGCAAACGTATGATGCACATGCGGGTCAATGGAACTGCTGCTGAAAACTTCCGGCTCATGGGGCACATGCGCACCCACATTTGGAATACGAATAGGGACCATCACTCGAAGAAGAATTCAAAGTTGTAGTTCTTTCAACCAGCACAATAGCTTACCCCCCATTACACACTGATAGAGTTAGCAGTATACATATTAAAGCAAATTAGGAAACCAACATGGATTCTACCTCTATCTGCTGTTGGGATGGTAGCATTGAAAATATGACCTCTTTCCTTCCAACAAAGGTCTGGTTCTGTGTGTGCAAATACCCACCACACCATGGCAGCCAGACATTGCCTGTCTGAGAATGAGCCAGCATTTCACTCTCACATCTCAATTTATACTTCTTAAGATGCCTAAGTATATCACAAGTGATTTGAAATGGCAATGTGTTTAATTTTTCAAATAGTATTAAAAATACATTTAAGCAAGACGACATTTAATCTTAACATTAACTGATGAGTAAGGCTAAGATTTAGACATGAGTATTTTTAGTAAAAGTCATGGACACGTCATGGGCAACAAACAAAAATTCACGGCCCATGACCTGTCCATGACTTTTATTAAAAATACCCATGACTAAATCTCTGTTCCTGAGGCCCCTTTGCTCTGGGGGCCCCCTGCTCCAGTGGTGGGGGGTTGACTGTACCCGGTGGCCCAGTGCTCCAAAGACCCCAGGACCGCTCTCCTGATGGCCTCCAGGGCCGCCCTTGGGACCACTGCTCCAGCTCTCCCTGGGGCCAGTCACACCAGCTGCTGCTCAGGTTCTCCCAAGCAGTGGCTGGTGCAGCTGGCCTTGGGGCCGCTGCAGCTGTCACAGAGGTTGCGAAAAGTCATGGAATCCGTGGCCTCTGTGACAGAATCACAGCCTTATTCATGAGTTAAGGAGGAGTTCTAATGTTAGTACATGAAGGTACAAAGGACTCGTATAAGTCACAATGGTAACTGTCATAACTATAAAGGGAAGGGTAACAGCTCTCCTGTGTACAGTACTATAAAATCCCTCCTGGCCAGAGACTCCAAAATCCTTTTACCTGTAAAGGGTTAAGAAGCTCGGGTAACCTGGCTGACACCTGACTCTAAGGACCAATAAGGGGACAAGATACTTTCAAATCTTGGGGGGGGGGGGAAAGGCTTTTGTTTGGGCTCTTTGTTTTGGTTGTTGTTCGCTCTTGGGACTGAGAGGGACCAGACATCAATCCAGGTTCTCCCCATCTTTCTAAACAAGTTTTTCCTATTTCAAACTTGTAAGTAAATAGCCAGGCAAGGCGTGTTAGTTTTCCTTTGTTTTCTCAACTTGTAAATGTACCTTTTACTAGAGTGTTTATCTTTGTTTGCTGTACTTTGAACCTAAGACTAGAGGGGAGTCCTCTGAGCTCTTTAAGTTTGATTACCCTGTAAAGTTATTTTCCATACTGATTTTACAGAGATGATTTTTACCTTTTTCTTTAATTAAAAGCCTTCTTTTTAAGAACCTGATTGATTTTTCCCTGTTTTAAGATCCAAGGGGTTTGGATCTGTATTCACCAGGGAATTGGTGAAAGGTTTCTCAAAGCTTCCCAGGGAAGGGAATTAGCTTGTGGGAATGGTGGCAGCGGACCAGATCTAAGCTGGTAGTTAAGCTTAGAAGTCTTCATGCAGGCCCCCACACTTGTACCCTAAAGTTCAAAGTGGGGATACAGCCTTGACAGTAACAGCCACACAAATACACTTTGGTATCTTTAAAAACTAACATTGAAAGCCTAAAAATTGTGACAGGAGTCACAGTTAAAGCAGAAATCGTGTAATGTGCTGTCGTTATGCTACCTATGACAAATTATCTCCTGAGCCAGGTAGGAGTTACTTTGTTCAGGAAAAGCAACTAGTTTTATTCCTTCCATGAAGTATGCCTAATATACATTAAAGGGGAAAAAACATTTAGAGTTTTATTCCTTATGTCTGAACATAAGTTAAGTTACCAGAAAATGTATTTCAACAACTCTCTTTGTCAGTAGTTCTTGAAGGAGTTCTACAGCATCCTGCTGCCAAAAATTTCCAACCTAGTTAGTGAGAGGGGAAAACACAAAAAACTCAAACATTTCTAAATATCAACAAGCACAGTGCACTAAATCATGTACTCAGTATGTATTTTCACCAAAATATTCTATAATACAAATGTCTACTTAATAAAACCCAAGACTTATTTGATTCTTTTCCTACAGTTAAGAGTTTGTGCACTATGTGGTATTAGCTGAATTCAGTTTTGGCATTAGAAAATAGAATATTTGTCAAAGCAAAGCTGCATGAATATTTTGTACCAAGTACAGTTAGGGACTACTTACATGGCTCATCAACTTGTAATGTAATATTCAAAACGAGGTATGGGAAACCATAGGGAGGTACCAAGCACAAAGATGGCACAAACTAGTGGATTAAACTTTAACTGATGTGTAAAGAGTTTTGTAACTTGTAAAACCATACTGTAAATACTACACCCCTACCTCGATATAACGCAACCCGATATAACACGAATTTGGATATAACGCGGTAAAGCAGCGCTCCGGGGGGGCAGGACTGCGCACTCCGGTGGATCAAAGCAAGTTCAATATAATGCAGTTTCACCTATAAAGCGGTAAGATTTTTTGGCTCCCGAGGACAGCGTTGTATCGAGGTAGAGGTGTACTAGCTGAAACGTGTATCTTTGAAGCTCTAGCCCATAGGATTATTTTGCTAGTTATTATATCCTACTATTCCAGCCAGCAGTATCAACTAATGTGTTTCTTTTTCTGAAATTAATCCATTTTATTTTTATATTTTATTAGTATTAATTCCTTGGAATTTAGGATGTGTTGAGGCATGTGTTTCCAAATAAGTTTTGCTGAAATGCAAGAAGCCTACCGGCCTGTAAGATTTGGTAAGATCTGCTATATAGCAAAAAGTAGAATTAGTTATAAATGTGTCAGCATAAAAGCTGGCAACCTTTGGCACAGATAAGAATGGTCCCTGAACTTTGGGGAACCAAAGGGAAGAACTATCCACATCACAGGTTTATCCAGCTTCTACAACCGGTTGGTAACTGCAGGGTACACCACAACTTGGAGCTCATCAAGAGAGCCTAGGTTGGCAGTTTTGGAGTGAGATAATTCTTATTAATATATTTAGAAAATAAGTGTCATAATCCACTAACCTATAGGAGAAGGGTACCCATAAATTTCTTAGGGTACAGAAATAAGATTTGGGCATAGTAGGTTGGGCCTGAATCACATAGGTCCGGATCGTATAAAATATCTTGTAAGGGAGTCCTTTTCTTAAACCTTCTTCTTGTACTTGCTTTGGAGTTAGTTTTTTTTTTTTTTTTTTTCTTCTTAACGACTTCTTAGGGTCTTAAGCTCTTAAACTAAGTTCTACTTCTTAGATCTTTTCATCTATCTATTCTATCATCTATCACACTATCAGCTCAGCTTGTGCAGTATAGAGTAACTACTCAACAGTCCTAACCATTGGCTAAGCCAACACCATCGCGTAATCGGTATGCTAGGAGTGAGGCTGGTCCTTCACCTCCTATTACCGGGCTCTCAAGGAAGGGTGTGAGTATGTTAGGTTAAGGTACTTATATTAGAAATGTTACCACCAGGAGTTCTGGAATTCTTTTACTGTTTTGCAGTTATAAGTTTCATTGCATTTCTTATTTTTATGTTAATGTCAATAAAGATTTTATCAATTTGGTATTGTCCTCAGTGTACGCGTTCTTGCCAACCACCCCGAGAGTCCTCTCCCAATTTAGAGAACTCTCTGAGTTCTTGAACTCTGTAGTCTGAATTGGATAAGAACCTATAAATCTTCTGGTCGGATGCGATCAGTGGCGAGCCATAAAAGCTAACCCATCAAATTCAGGTCAACAAAGCACACCTTCTGGGTAAGCTGAACGTGCGGCAATCTAAAAACTGCTTCCCAGGAGGAGGGTAGGTATGTCCTCCTTTTTGTATTATATTGTTTTGTCTTTAGACAATAAAGTTGAATAAATTTAATTATTTGGTCTCCTGAACAATTTTTAACAATGAACCACAAATGTAGTCAAACTGGCTATATCTTTTAGTCAATAGTGGCAATTCCTTGGCACAGTAGTGCTAAATTCTACAGAATACTGTATATTCTGCAGTCATGAGATGCAGAGACCATTCGGAATGCAAACTTTTTTTTTAATCTAATAAAAAGCCATTTGTGAATGTTTTCCCTACATATTTTGTATTGCTGCCTATCTGTATGCTGTAGAAACATGTTATAAAAAAAGTTACCTCTACCTTACAGTAACTGAAGTTCTTAGGGATGTGTTGTCCATATGTATTCTACTGTTGGAGTGCCTGCACCCCAGGCACACAAGATCTGAGTCTTTTGACCAGCAGTGTACGTTAGGGCCACACATGTACCCCTATGTGTCTTCATGCTCCTGTACCAAGGCCATTAAGGTGACAGTAGGCCTAGTTGCCACTCAATTACTTCGCCACTGTGCAATCCAGGTTTTATAGGATTCCATAGCAGCAGGGAAGGAAGATGGACCGTGGACTACATATAGACAACACATCTCAAAATATAAGTAACTTCTTCCTTTCTTCGAGTGCTCATCCATTTTTTTTATATATATATTTTCCACTCTTGTGACTAGAAAGCAGTGACTTGATGTGAGGGAGGTGGGTGCTGAGCTGGTGGATCTAGACTAACTAGTTTGTAAGAGATTTTAATACAACCCAAAACCAATTTGAATAGCCTTTGGGTTGATAATCAGCAATGCCAGAATAAGCTTAGGCAACTACCTGAAAGATGTGGTCCTCTGCAAATAAAAGGAAAGAGGTTTGTGAACATCTGAAGTATGCAGCCTAACCTCTCCTTGATTAGAATATAGTTTAGGGAATATATTGGTGGGTGGATCATTTGGTTTAAATGGAAGTTTAACTACTTGAGTAAGAACTTGAGATGAAGTCTGAATGATACTTTATCCCTATGAAATACTGTATAGGGAGGTCTTTCTGTGAAAGTCTATATTTACACACTTCTGACAGATGTACAATTGCTATAAAAAAGGAAGTCTCCATAGATAAGCATAATAAGGAACAAGTTGCCAAGGGTTCAAATGAGGATCCAATTAAGCCTGTCAAAACCAAATGAAGATCCCATGGTGAGGGAGGTTGTGTTACTGGTGGAAAAACCCAAACTAGGTACTTATTTAACCATAATGAGATGGGGAAAAAAACTAACTCTTGATAGGAGGATGGTATGCAGAAATGGCTGCCAGGTGTACTCTGAGGGCTGTTTAACAATCCAAAGTTCTTCAGTGAAGTAAATATTCCAAACGCAGTTGAAAATAAGTCAATGGGTTGCAGGGGACACTGTTCACACCAAATCCCACATCTCTTCCTTTTAGCTGCATAGGTTTGTTTGGTGGAATTTTTCCTACTTTGTATCAAAATATTTTGGACATCCAAATAACAAAACCATTTATGAATGACATCCATCCAACAGCCAGGCTGAGAGATAAAGGGAGGCTGGGTTTGGATGCAAAATCTTCCTTTTGTCTTGAGATATCAAATCTGATAAAAGAGGTAAAGGTTTCAGTGGATAAAACAATAAGTTCAATCCTAGGTATCAAAACTGCCTCAACCACGCAGCCCCTATCATGATGATCCTGCAGCACCTTGTCTGTTCTTTCCAAATACCCTGGGAATTATCTGGAACAGAAATCAAGACACTTTTTGTTGTTTATTACAAGCAGTTCTAATGATCGATGACCCCATTCCTGGAATACAACTGTACAACCGAATCTTTGATCATCCACCCATGGTCTGCTAGAGCACTTTGCAGCTGCTAGAGCACTTTGCAGACTGAGGAGATGTATTGCTCTGAGAGATACATGATGCAATATGCACTGGTTCCATAGCCGAAATGCTTCCGGACACAGCAAAGATGAGCATGTCCTTCCCTACCTGTTTGTATAAAGCATAGCCATGGTGTTGGTTATCAACTGGTCAGTCCTACTCTTGATTAAAGGATTGAAGACAGCACAGGCTCTGTGAACTGCTCTGAGCTCTAACATATTTATGTACAATTCAGTCTCCTTGCAAGTCCATTGGCCTTGTGTCTGATGACGGTCCAGGTGCATTCCACTCCCCATCCCAAGAGGAACTCATCTGTCACCAAAGTCTTACTGAGAGGGGTGGAGAAAAAGGTATAACCTTGCACGCCTAATTGAGGTCTTTCCACCAATTTAGTGATATAAGATTTGTGAGCGATCATTAGAGACATATCCATAAGATGCTTTCTCAGCATGTATGCAAACTCTAGTCAACCCTGCACACAACGCAAGTGTAATCTTACATTCTGCATGACTAATGTGCAGGAAGCCACGTGTCCAAGCAGACACAGAAAAGTCCAAACGGTTGTATGTGGATCTTTTTGAGGCTGATTGGCAAGACTGGACAGACGCAACAACAGCCAGAGATTACCTGCCCAAACAAGGTAAATTTGTTATTTGATAAGTTTCTGTTAGCAGCTTCTCTCCAAATTCATTACTCATGGGCTAATGGCCCCCAAAGGTGGAATTCAGTGGCCGTCCAATGTTATTGGTGGAGGCTCTGGGACTTGGGTCCACTCTTAAGCTCAGGCCGCCAGAAGAGTTCCTCCACAGCTGTAGAAACACTCCAGCAACCAATTATCAGCATTAAGACAACTTGGTATAATGTATTAAATTAACCATCAGACAATATATGTCTAAGTCTCCCTTTGAAGAAAATTTTCAGTCCATATTCTGGTCATTTATATGATTAGGGTGAGTTGCATTCAGAGAAAAGCTACCAACAGAAAGCAATGATCACCTAAGAGATTACTCAATCTGTTGCACAGCTTCTCTCCTCATTCATTACTCATGGGAAGTAGCAAGCAGTGAATCACAAAAGCAGGTATTCCCAATCTCCCCTTCCCCATCCATTTTGAGGGACACCTCAGGAAAGGCTGTTACAACAGGTGGTAGAGTAACTTCTATAGTTCCAAGATACACAAGATGTTCCTATCCTATATAGAGGAAAAGGTTTTTATCTAAGTTACTGCCTAATATTGAAGAAGGTAGGGTGGCATCCAATTCTGTACTTGAAGGGACTCATCAACACCTTCATCTGTTGCTTCAAGTTCAGGAGGGTAACACTGGCCTCTATAATTCATCTTTAGATCCACACGAATGGTTTGCAACTCTCAACCCACAGGATGCATACTTCTGCATGTTTCCATACATTCAGCATGCAGGAATTAAGATTTCAGGTGAGATAGAACCATTACAATACAGAGTCCTTCTATTTAGTCTCTTTACAGCACAGAGTATTCACCAAGGTTATAGCTGTCTCGTTAATAGGCAGTGCCATGAATGGAGAATATCCAAGAGTTTAGGAGAGGATTCTTGTACCTCTTCAACTGGTATTTTGAGAATCAGCTATTTGTCTGAACAGGTCCTGAAAGCTCTTGTATTCACCCAGTTGGGATGGGACCACTGCTGCATCTGGGAAAGAGGATGAAACAGCTGCTGGCATTAATTGATCCTCTGGTTAAGAGTGCTGCTGCTCAAAAAATTCCTCACGGGGCTCAGGTTCATGTATTGCATTTTGAGACATCCTAGATTCCTGACATGGAGTAGGAAAAAAGGATCTCTTCCTATGAGGTGGTGCAGCGGTGTGATGTCTAGGATATTATTCTCATCCCCCCATTCCCCTGAGAGACCTAGACCCAAATTAAGCCCTCTCCTCTCTTTTCAGATCGATAAGGGCCCCTTGGGGAATAAATAGGGGATCCTTCCCCACTGTGTTGTGAGCCATAAGATGAAAATGCACATTGTTGGGGGACTGCTGAAGCTTGAGCACTAAGATGTATAGTGCTCCTACATGACATTAGCCTCTGAGATAGAATGCATCAGTTTTCGGGTCCTTTGATATCACATACTTCCTCGGTACCAAGAAGGGCAGAGCTGTAAACCTTGATGCAGGAGAAGCAAGAATTGAGCTCAACAGTGCCAATATACCTAGTAGACGCATCTAGTGCAGAAGTGAGTAGCATCAAGTACTGACAAGGCTGGCACTACAATGATCATCACTGACATGATGTTCAGTGCTGAGGTGATAATTGAAGCCTTGGCCCCAGTGCTGGAGACAGCGGATTTTGATTCCAGAGGGTCAGTGTGCCCTCAGAGTTCCTGTGGTACCCAGTTTGTGTGGTGGAGTCACTGTAGAGCAGGAGCAGTGAGATGACTTAGACATCCTCTTATTGGAATCTCCTAGTGGGGGTTTGCCCCTGCTCTTCCCAAAGAAAGTGATGCTCCTTTTTATCTAAGGACTTAGGTTTCTGCCTTCTAGCTCCTTATCAAATGAGAGGGGAACATAAAGGAACAAAATGATAGTGACCTAAGAGTGTTTAAAGTAATTAATGTTAGCACATTATGTCTCATATATGAAATGGCTTATTTATGGCTCTCAAGATTGCTCACCTAGTTCTAACGTAGTAGTCTCGAGGGTTACCATAGTCCTTCTTTAGAGCAACGTCTCCCAAAGTTGTTCAGCTTTTCTGGGCATATTTTTCATTGTCTTACAGCATGATTCAGAATTTTAATGACTTAGTAACCACCTGGAAATATCTAGCATTTATAAACTGTTCTCTGTTCTTAGTACCTACTGTAGCAAGCTTTTCATTTCTCCTTATAGAACATGCTCTCATCATACCAGTATTTTGGGTGTTTAGTAAAGACTTATCTATGGGCCATGTGTATTGAAGAGCTTAAATGCACGCTCCAATTCCTCTCTCAGCAGACAGGAGTAGAGAGGAATTGGGCTAGATCTACACAGGAATTTAGGAACCTAAGTCCAACAGTTAGGTGCCCAGATGATCCTCAGAACTCCACTCAGCTGCTCCCTAAGCCTGTAGGGGCCTAAATTCCCACGAATGAGCATGTTCAAAACCACTTAAGTTCTGACCCAGCCGAGCTGCTTGACCCCCTAACTCATGCCTAAGACCCAGCAAAATTCACAAACTAGGTCTTTCCCAATTTTCAGGTGCAGGGCTGCATCCAGTGATTCAGCACATTAACCAGATCGCACTTCCCACAAAAGAGAGCTGGGGCCATCCAGATTGCTGTGTGTGTGTGTGTGTGTGTGTGTTAGAATACCCAAGAGTGATTAGGGCACTCTACTGGGAGGTGGGAGACCTGTTTTCAAATTCACAGTATGCTTGATTTAGAGCAGGAACTTGGACCTCCCACATCCCAGTTGAGTGCCCTAACCCCCCCTCAGGCTATGGGATATTCACAGATGGGTCTTTGTCTGTCCCCTGTGGAAGCTGTTCCACTTTGTATAAATATTAATTGGGCCAGAGAGAAAGAGACTATAGCTGGTGGTTAGGGCAGTCATGTGGGATATGGGAGACCCAAGTGCATGTCCCTGCTCCAAATCAAGCAGGGAGGGGGGAGGGACCTTGAAACAGGTCCCCTATCTCTGAACTGAGTGCCTAACTGCTGTAGCTAGAAGGGGATGGGAGGGTGTCTACAGATTACAGAATTGCTTTAAACTAAACTATTTTGCTTTCCAATCCTACTATTAAATGAATCACTCATACTCTTTCTGTTTTTAGGCAGCCTGTGAATACAAAATAATACAAAACTGCACTTAAATTACATATTTAGAATACAGAAAACAAAAGTCAAGAATTTCATTCTTATAAGTGAATATCTGACACTACAAACTATCACTCTGAACTCAAAATTGAATTCCCAAATACTGGCTAGATGTACAAGAGTATCCTTTATTCCATGTACTATTAATTAGTATATTAATTTTAGTAACTAGCAAAAGTCTTCAAATTTAGTGTTTACTCACTGGCACTGTTTTATAGAGCTGACATGGTATGCAAAATGTAGGTATGTCAGCGTACAACGCGACTGGATAGAGATGACACTGAGGGATCTTCTCAATGTAGCCATAGTCCACGTACTGCACCTATATAAAATAAATAAAATGAAAAATTACTTTTCTAAAAATGCTGCTTTTTAGAAAAAAATCACTCTCTGGTAAACAGACAATTTCTTTTCTCTAAAAACACATGGTGTCTCAGAGCTGGAGGTGGGGCTAGACTGGGGTCAAAAAATAAGGGCCACCCATACCTTCTTCAGGCTGACGTAAAGGGGGAATCTCCCCAGACAAACGTTGTTCCTGCCTTCATGGCTCCCTCCTTGAGAAATTTACGAATCCTAAATTTCCTACACTGTTCAGTCTTACTCAGGAATGACCTGCAGATACTGCCCTTGGAAGGTACATGTGCTTCCCCTGAGTACTATAAACAGGTGCTGTAGTCTGATCAGAATCATCTTGTGGCACTTATTGTAGCTTTTAAAGCCGGGGATTGCTAGCACACTCCCCTTAACTATTGGAGGGTCGGGGGAAACGAGGGGCATACGGTAACAGTTTCCCAGCAGAACTGTTTTGGGAGTGGGGCAAGATAAGGAACCAGACCCCTCATAAGCTAGTTCCTAACTAACTGTACGCAGAACTAAGAGGCTTTAACAATTTTAATAACTATTTACAGTGTGAAGTTGGAAAAAGTCAGCATGGACAATGAAGCTCTGTCCTAAAGCACGAACGGTAATAAAGAACTAAAATGGTAGCAGTCTGGCAGCCTTTATTCCCTTGGTGCAGAACATGAGCAGAGTGGGGGTGTACGCATGGACCACATAGACACTGCTTAAAGAAGATTCTCCAGTCCTCGGCACATGGAATATATGTACAACCTGAAGTACATTATACATAAGGATAAATGCTTGAAGAAGAACTGAATAGATAGTTCAGGCAAACTATCATTAAGACAAAGAGTCATGCCAAAAGATAGGGGGTCAGATAAAAGGAACATGCCTACTTGGAGAACATAAATTGAAACATAATAATAGTAATATCAGCAATTCATTCAGCATGTGATCATTATGAAACATTTAACTTTTTAAAAATAGATTACTTATTTTGAAAAGGTGACCACATTCAAGAGAGGATGAAATCCATAAGTAAGTCATAATTACAAAGTTTCTATGCTCTTAGGAGAGCTGTTTTACTACTGCCAGCAAAATCAAAAAAGAAAATATTACTCACCCTGTGCAATAACTGTAGTTCTTCAAGAAGTGTCTCCTTATGAGTGCTCCATTTCAGATTTGTATATGCCTCTCATGCTCTCAATTGTAGATTTCTAGCTAGCAGTTCATTCGGCCCGTGCACTTATCCTATGCTTCCTCATGGCATACACCGAGGCTACACAAGGCTGTGTGGGTGAACCACCTTCAGTTCCTTCTCTACTCAGTCATCACCTAGAGCAGTGGCTCTCAACCTTTCCAAACTACTGTACCCCTTTTCAGGAGTCTGATTTGTCTTGCATACCCCCAAGTTTCACCTCACTTAAAAAACTACCTGCTTACAAAATCAGACAAAAATACAAAAAAGTGTCACAACATACTAATACTGAAAAATTGCTTACTTTCTCATTTTTACTATATAATTATAAAATGAATCAATTGGGATAATATTGTACTTACACTTCAATGTATAGTATATAGAGCAGTATAAACAAGTCATTGTATGAAATTTTAGTTTGTACTGACTTTGCTTGTGCTTTTTATATAGTCTGTTGTAAAATTAGGCAAATACCTAGATGAGTTGATGTACCCCCGGAAGACCTCTGCGTACCTCCAAGGGTACACATATCCCTGATTGAGAACCACTGCTCTAGAGAACAACCAAAAAAAAGGGGAAGGAGGGTGGGTGGTGGAGCACCCATAGGGGGACACATCTCAAAGAACTTCAATTACTGAACAGGGTGAATAACATTTCCTCCTTCTTCAAGTAGTGACCCTACAGGTGCTCCACTTTAGGTGACTTCTGAGCAGTATCCCTAGAAGTAAGGGGGAGGGGCAGGCTTTGGAACAGGATCTAGAATCGAAGGTAGTACTGCCAAGCCAAGTGGTGCATCAGATCTGATGGTATGGCGCAGAGCATAATGCTTTAAAAATATATGGATTGAAGACCAGGTAGTGGCTCTACATATCTCAGATACTGGGACATTCTTCAAAAATTCAGCAGACGTTGCCTGCGATCTGGCTGAATGTGCTCTCTTCCCTCCCCCCCAGCAGTGTCTTTTCCCATCATCCCAGGGAGTAACTGCAGGCTTCTTGCTCCAGACACACCTCCCTTCTCCCAGGGAGTGCTTGTTGCCAGCTTCCAGGCTTATATAGGACCCGCCTCTTCCTGCCCAGCTGAGCATGTTCTACTTAAATCCCTGGTACCTGTCTCTTTCTCCAGATGCAGTCCAGGCAGTTAAATGGCCCACTTAGCCATCTTAAACCTTTCAGGCCTTGTGGGGGGTGAATACCACATCACAGGTCCCAAGATAGAGTGGGGTACTAATGTGGGGGAAGGGATTACCCAGACCCCTAATAAATCTGGATGATACTGGGTAAGCAAAAATGGAGAATCTCTCAACTTGGGAATGAAAGGCGGACATGGCAGCCAGGTGTACCCTGACTGAATGGATAGATAATCTAGATGTCTTCAGATCCTGCAGGTAGCTTAGGATGAGTGAAAGGGGAATTGATTCTGGACGCAGGTACTGACTGTAGTAGGAAGAGAGCCTGATACATAAGCCCTTATATCAGTGGCCTGGTATGAGGCCTGGGCTAAAGTAGTAGTCAAAGCTTTGCTAATATAAAGCAAAGTCAGCAAGAGACAGGCTGTAAGCAGGAGTTAGGCTCTGCCTGTGTACACGCTCACAGAGCCTGGCAAGAACAGAGCTGGTATTGCAAAAACACACTCTTTCCTAAGAAAGGCTAGGCACAGGACACTCACAAAAATACATTCCGGAAGCATGTTACCAGAACACCCTGATACCAAGTATGGTACAACCTGCTCTCCCCCAAATATAACAGGAATACGCTGACCCATCTTAAAAGGTCAGGATGACAGCATGATGGATAGAGATGTTTTGATCGAACCAACATGAACAAGGTGATGGGTGGCACCTAGGTATATCAGAGGGTGGCACCTGGATATGTTAGAGAGGCAATACGTAACTTGTTTGTATCGGTGTATAGAGATATTTCAGAAGGAGTGTTTTGGGCCAGCCGAGGGAGGAATGGAAAGTCCCACCATTCACTGAGCTGTGTCCATTGTCACTGGCATACAAGTCTTAGACTAGGTCTATCCCCGATAGATCGATCGCTACCCGCCGATCCGGCGGATAGTGAAGACGTGCCCTTAGTATCCTCAGAGTCTGCCAGGTGCTATTACCGTACTTAGTCAACAATAAACCTGGCTGTGTGCCTTTATGCCTTAATGGATCTTGTGGTCATTGGGCGGTTTACTCAAGGTCTGCTGTGCCAGCTACCTGCGAAGAGCTGGGGCGGCATACAGAGGGAATGCAAGCAGCCAAACATCTATCAACACTGATGACCACACCAGTGGACAATCTCTTCCGTTTCTGTGGGTAAGCAGGGACAAATGATGTTATTCTACTGTTTAATAACACCTGCTGTACCACCATAGAGCAGGAAATCTATATACCCAAGAACCATCCCGGAGCCACACCCTGAGGCGCAGAACTGCCAGGCTGGGGTGTAGAGTGTGACCTGCATCCTGAGACAGGATATGAGGAATGGTCTGGTGCTTGATCAACAGCTGGACACAGCTGACACAGGTAAGGGTATCAAGCTTGTCTCATCCAGGTAGGTACTTTGAGGATAACTCTGACCTTGTCCTACCTGATCTTATTCAGTGCTCTAGAATTAAGGGCATTGGGGGAAAAGGGACAGAATATACTTTTCTGCCACAGTAGAAGCAAGACATCCCCCAGGGAGCAGTAACCCAAAGTCTCCCTTTAATAGAAGAGAAGGCACTTCCTGTTTTCAAAGGTGATGAAAAGATGGATCTCTGTCCATCCTTAACTCTGAAATATGCTATGGAGAACCTAAGGGTCCAGCTCCCATTTGTAGTCATGGGAGAAGTGTCTGTTGAGGGCATCAACAGTGGTGTTCCAGATGCCTGGAAATCAGACTGCTGAGATCTGGATGTGGTGGCTATGGAACCAGTTCCAAAGCTTTGTAGCTTCAGCACATAAGAATGCAGATCTTGCTCCTCCCTGCTTGTTGATGTAAAACTTGCAGCAGAACATATTGTTCGTCATGGCCTTGATTGTTTTGTCCCCAATGAGGGGCAGGAGATGAAGGGAAGGATTCCTGACCACCCTGAGCTCCAAAAGCTTGATGTGGAGATTGGTCTCATGGGACTGTCCATCTGCCCTGAACCACGAAGATGTTGAGGTGGGAACCCCACATTAATCAGGATGCATCAGTCATTAGAGTCTCTGATAGAGCTGAGTGACAGAAACGGACACCTGCACAGAGATGGAGTTGCTCCTTCCATTAGTTTAGAGAGTTCATTATGTACACAGTCACCCATTAGTCCAAAGCATTCCTGTCACAGAATAGACAATTCCTAACCAACCTGGGAAGCAGCAGAGCATAACCTTGCATGGACTGATCACAATGGTACAAGCTGCCATATGGCCCAAGAGTTGAAGACAGATTCTTATTGTGGGTTGAGAGCTCCTCTGAATTCTCCCTACCAGTCCTGAAAGTCACAAATCTGTCTAAAGGGAAGTACTCTCTGGCTGTCACGGAGTCCAGATACGCCCCTATAAACTGTATCCTTTGTACTGGTACTAATGTGGATTTCTTTACATTCAGCTGTAGACCCAACTCATGAAACAGAGCAAGAGCCTTCTGGGTTGACGATAACACTAACTTGAAAGAATGGTCTTTGAGATACCGGAAGACAAGAATTATTCCCTTCCGAAGGTAAGCCGCAACTACTGCTAGAACCTTTGAAGATATCCTTAGGTTCCAAGGATAGGCTGAGCACTTGGTACTGGAAATGATCTTGGTCTATGATAAATTGTAGGTATTTCCAGTATGATGGATGTATATTTATATGGATGTAGGAGTCTTGTAGGTGGAGGGATGAAAATCAGTCCCCTTCCTCTAGTGAAGTAATTACAGTAGCCAGTCACCATCCTGAACTTTTGGGGTTTCACAAACTTGTTCAGCTGTCTTAGATTGAAGATCGGCTTCCAACCGCCATCCTTCTTTGGTACTAGGAAGTACTGAGTAGAACCCTCTGCCCCTGCAAGGGAAAGGAACCAGTTCTACTGCTCCTAGCTGGAGGAGAGAGTCCACCTCTTGCCTTTGTAAAAGCTCGTGAGAAGGCTCCCTGAAGAGGGATGGGGAAGGGGAGGTGGAAGGGTGACTGGGCAACAAAATGGCAGATGAAATTCAGTGCTTACCAGTGCAAAGTAATACATACTGGAAAAATATAATTCCATATACACATACAAAAGGATGGGGTCTAAATTAGCTGTTACCACTCAAGAAAGAGTCATTAAGGTTAGTTCTCTGAAAATGTCTGCTTAATGTGCCAAGTATCAGGAGGTAGCCGTGTTAGTCTGTATCCACAAAATCCACCGGACTCCTTGTTGTTTTTGCTTAATGTGCAGCAGCAGTCCAAAAAGCTAACAATGTTAGGAACCATTATGAAGGAGCTAGATAAGAGAAAACATCATAATACCACTATATAAATCCATGGTATACCCACATGCAGTTCATTCATCTCATCTCAAAACAGGTATATTAGAATTGGAAAAAGTACAGGAAAGGGCAACAAAAATGATTAGAGAAGAGATTAAAAAGACGGACTGTTCAGATTAGAAAAGCAATGACTAAGGGAGAGATAAGATAAAGATCTACAAAATCATGAATGGTGTGGAGAAAGTAAGTGTTATTTACTCCTTCATATAAACACAAGAACTAGGGGCCACCCAATGAAATTAATAGGCAGCAGGTTTAAAACAAACAAGTATTTCTTCACACAATGCATACTCAACCTGTGAAATTTCCTGCCAGGGGATGTTGTGAAGACCAAAAGTATAACAGGGTTCCAAAAAGAATTAGATAAGTTCATGGAGGATAGGTCCCATCAATGGCTATTAGCCAACATGGTTAGGGATGCAACTCCATGCTCTGGGTGTCCCTAAACTTCCAACTGCCAGAAGTTGGGACTGGATGACATGGGATGGATCACTTGATAATTGCCCTGTTCTGAACATTCACTCTGAAGCATCTGGCACTGGCCACTGTTGGAAGACAGGATATTGGGCTAAATGAACCATTGGTTTGACCCATTGTGGCTAGTCTTGTGCTTTTATGAACGATCACTTATGTCATTTGTCATAAAAGCAAAAAAAAAAAAAAAAATCAAACTTACCCTGACTGTACCACCACCAACTTCTATAACTTTACCTCGATACCACATGGTATCCGATCCTCTTACAACACAAGCTTCTTCTTTTCTCCAACAATATGGTTCCAGAAGACCAAGACATTTGAAGTTATTTTGTATATCAGTCATCAATTTGTTTAGTTCATTTTCTGAACAAGAATTGGGTAAAAGAGAAAGTGAAATTCAAAAAATGGATTTCAGATTATTTATAGGTGCAAATAATTGTTTTAACCACTACATATATAGTTACTGTATACTAGGCTGGGGCTGTAGAACAATAATTTAGAGGTTAAACTATACAGCTTTTCACATTTTAATTTCCAAATATCTTCCACTAGGTTGGGAATCTTACCTATTGCAAGTCCTTATAATTCCATTGTGTTGGAATAATAGTGGCAAATGTAGGGGTTATATTATGGAAAATATATTTTCCATATTTTAAACCATTTATCACTTCCTAATGACAATGGCTGAAATAACTTCTAAGCCAAATTTCATACTTAGTTATACAAATTCTTAAAAGAAGAAAAAATTGCTATTAAATGTAAATAGGATTTACATTTTATCAGGATAAAACATGAAGTCTGGGTTGCAAAACCACATCCCTGAGGAAGTTACTGCTATTATTGAGAATATAAGGATAAATAGTCCAGGATTCTATCATGTTGGAAAGAAATCTAGGACTGCTTCCTTGTTTATTTGTAGAGTCTAACTGATTCCCAAACAGAGCTTAGAGTTATCAATGACAAGGAAGTCAATACAGTAAACTTGCGGAGCTTCCTAACATACAGAAGAACTCTAGATGAACTAAAGAGGTATACGGGGAGTCACATCTTACGCGGGGGTTAGGTTCTAAAGTCAGCGCGTAAGGCGAAAATGGCGTATAGTCAAACGCTCATTGAGTGGAATGGCGGGCGGAATCGCCCGCACTACAGGTACAGTATTTAAATTGTTATTTTTCTCTTTTTTTTGTTTTGCCGAGCGCGTATAGTTAAAATCACGTAAGTTAAATGCGCCTATGATGCAACTCCACTGTAGTTTCCAAAAGCGTTCAGAGTAAATTTTAGGCATGTAAGGCAGCAGTTGAAGAGAGAATATTACAGAAGCAACAACGTAGGGCTGGTCTATACTTAGCCGCTAGTTCGGCGGCTGGAAATCGAACTTCCTGGTTCGATTTATCGCGTCTGGTCTGGACGCGATAAATCGAACCAGGAAGTGCTCGCCGTCGACTGCGGTACTCCAGCTCAACGAGAGGAGTACCGCAGAGTCGACGGGGGAGCCTGCCTGCCGCGTGTGGACCGCGTCTGAACCGCGGTAAGTTCGAAGTAAGGTATGTCGACTTCAGGTACGTTATTCACGTAGCTGAAGTTGCGTACCTTACTTCGACTTGGGGGGTTAGTGTAGACCAGGCCTAATTCTGTAACTGTATCTCTGAAATGAAGTATCTGAAAATAAGGCTTTGTGACTGCATATCACTGCAAACAAAACAAGGGGGAAGCTGATAAAATTCAAATGTGAGACAGCAGCAATAAACAAAAAGAGAAAGAGTTCCAGAGGAAGTAGCAATGACATTTTAGAGACTTACTTGACACTAACAGGTTTCCCAAAAAGTCCCTGAATTGTTTTACATACAAGTCATATCAACTATTGCAAGAGAAACACAGAATCCTCAAATCTGGTCTGGGGGACTATCAATTTTACTTTACTTTATAAAATCTGTATTTCTAATTTTGTAATCTGCAAACATGATCTTTAATAACTGAACAAAAAATCTTTATTAAGACTACAAAGTGGTTAATTTTTTTGTAGCAGACAAAGCGTTGGATTTCTAATAAGCAATCGACTAGTATTAATTAGAAATACGAAAGATACTGAGTCAATTAGGCTGGAATTTTCAAAGGCACCTAAAAGAATTAAGCACCTAATGCCTACTGAAAGTCATTGACATTTGGGCATATAACTACTTAAGGCTGGGATTTGCAAAGAGGCCTAAAACTTTAAGTTTCACCTAATATTCAAGATGCAGTGTTACAAAGTTAATTTTTTTCCCAAATGCAGCATGACAGCTACTACTCTATGTCTGTCCAATAGCACATATAAAGCATTCAAAGACTACTGTGAAGAGGGCAGTAAAAATAAGAAATAGAAATGTGTCTTTTGTAGAAGGTGTCATCTTCAGGGTTGTTGTTGTTGGTGGTGGTGGTGGTGGTGGTGTGTGTGAGAGAGAGATTTGTTTTTAAAGCCACAAGGACTTTTAACTTACAGATTACTTTTGCACAGATAACACATGGTCAAAAGGAACTTGTCACATCCAAAGAATGGCACCTTCAATGACCATGTATGCGCTAATACTGCCCTCCTAGCTCAGCATTAGCAACTGAACCATAAAAACATGTATTTACTGCAATTCAAAATCTTACCTAATGATTTGGGCACCATATAAATAGTTCCATCATCTCCAATACAGTTTATTATAGCCTGTAATTCTTTCATGTCAGGTATAATTGGAGGTTTATATGCTCCATCCATTCTTGACTTAAGCACTAGTTTCTTTGACTCATGTTCTTTAGGTTCATTAACAGAAAGAGTAACTTCTTTCTCTGGCACTAAACACTTTGGTGTACATTCAGTTTCTAGAATCAGCTCATTTAAGCATGGACTCTCTTGCTTCAAAGCAACTTCAAGAGGTTTCTCAGGATCTGCATCACTTAGATCAATTTCATGAGTTCTATCAGATACAACACAAAATATATCAAAAGATGAAAACTCTGAAGCATGAAAGAGTAAGATAATCTAAAGAAAAAGAAAAATGATCGAAGTTTGAAATTATAACTATTCATTTTAACGAAACAGGTATCAAAATATACTTACTCCATCAGCATAAGTAACTGCAATGCACATTAGACTGTGATGCTGATAATATGTTTTATCACATGTAAATTTAAAATGTTAATTGTCTATAAAGTTTTCAGAAGAGAATGTAAGTTTTCTACTCCTGGGGGGGATTCTGCACCAAAATAAATAAATAAATAAAAAATAATCTATGCATAATATTTTAAAATTCTGCATATTTTATTTGTCAAAATAACATAATATAATCACACCAGTTTCAATTATTTTGGTAATTTATTTCAAAAATACCTGTCCACAAGTATGGCTGTAACAATACAGACAATGAAAAGGATTCAGGAAATGTTTTTTGACAAATAAAGTCTTTACTAGGCATATTAATACAGAACTCTGAGCAGGGTGGATAAAAATCAATGATTTAAAAAAAATAAAATAAAAATCGATTTTTAATTTAAATCGGATTTTTTTATTTAAATCAGGGTTTTTTTAATTAAGATACATTATAGCTCAAAGATATCTCATCATGGAATAGGGATTATAAATTCTAATCGTATAGTATGAGACAATATATTCATGCAATGTTTAAGAAAAGTTTTGTAAACGAGTTCCAATAGTTCATGGATTAGGGACCCAATCTTATGGGGTTCCAGGGGATTCTGTATAAATTATTTAGGTTAATCTTTCTATCTACCCACTGAGACTCAGTGCTCAGTCTAGACGATACCATCAGAGATGCTTAGTTTTGCAGTTCTCAAACTGTGGATTTGCATCTCCAGAGATAACATGCTTGTTAACAGCAAAAATGTTGATGGATGGGAGAAATAACAGACCTCAACCCTATTCTCCCTCTGCAAATTTGTGTACACAGAGTCAATCCCTTTCCCTTACCTCTCTCTAAAAGTGCAAAGTTTCAAAAAGTTCAATCAATAGAAGATTGTTGGGGGTGGAATAGATCTGGACAAGGAGATGTAGTCTTGAGATAAATGTGAGAAGGGAGGGACAGGCAGTAGAAACAAAAGTGAAACTGTTTGAGTAGCATATTCCAGAAGTCTTGAGGTCTTTCTGAGGCTAGGTCTACACTACCCGCCTGAATAGGCGGGTAGAAATCGACCTCTCGGGGATCAATTTATCGCGTCCCGTCAGGACGCGACAATCGATCCCCGAATCGACGCTCTTACTCCACCAGCGAAGGTGGGAGTAAGAGCCGTCGACGGAAAGCCGCGGAGGTCGATTTTGCCGCCGTCCTCACAGCGGGGTAAGTCGGCTATGATACGTCGTAGCTGAATTTGCGTATCTTAAATCGACCCCCCCCGTAGTGAAGACGTAGCCTTTGTGTAGCCTTCATTGATTTCAGATCTCCCATACCATTCTCTCACTAGAAGAGAAAACCTATAATGGCAGCAGGCTGTAAAAGAGACCCAGTTTGGAAATATTTTAATAAAGTTCCTCTACCTGTGGGTAAAACAGGCATGCGTGCAAAATGCAAAGAGTGCAACAAAGAAATGCTAGTGTTCCTTCTCAGGAGAAAGCTGTGTTGAAGATGATGAAAGGAACGTGTCTGAACATGCAGGAACTACAGGTTGGTAAACTTTTTTATTTCACACTTCTTTCTTAAGGACTGCCTGTCTTCCTTCTGGACTATTCTTGAATTCTCATGTTTGAGCAAAAAAGATAGTTGTTACTCTATGGTACTATCATTTTAGATGCAGTTGTGATAAAACACATAGCTGAATAGACAAATCTTCCTTTTACAATTTCACCTTTAAAGTACTGTCAGTGAATGCACTGAGTAATACTAAATGAGCAGTATGGTGGTAATAATTAAATAACTGCATTGACTTATTTTGTTTAGGAGAATTCATCCTCAACATACAGGATTCTGAAGACTATCCACCTTCAAGATCACCATAATTTTCTATAGTTTCAGAGTTATCTGCCAATGATAGTGTTTCAGTCACATCATGTATGTCACAGAGCCACAGTATATCACCTGCAGCAAAAAAAAAAAAAAAAAAAATCCATCATCCAGAAACAACCGTAGATACGTTTGTGGTAAGAACCAGCAGATTATAAAAAGAGGTAACTGATGAAAAAATTGCCTGGTTTGTTTATGCAACCGCTCTCCTTTCCGTATGATTGAGAACCCACACTTCATTAACATGGTTCAGTCATTAAGACCAGGATACAGTCCACCCAACTGAGCTGATGTCACAGGTAAATTGCTGGATAAAGTGTATGAAAGAGAAATTGAGCAGAGTGCAAAAGATCTAGAGGGTGAAATCGTTAACCCGAGTATTGATGCGTGGAGCAATGTCCACAATGATCTTGTTGTACGTGCTTGTGTGACAACAGAAGAAGGGAATGTCTTCCTTACAGAAACATTTGATAGATCAGGAAATGCACACACAGCAGAATACTTACAAGAAGTAGCAGCAAAAAATAAACTGAAAAAAAATTCAAATGTCTAGTACGCAGCTTGGTCACAGACAATACTGCAAATGTATCCAAGATGAGAAGAAATTTAGAAGAGAGTGAAGAGAGTCCCAAGCTAATAACATACGGTTGCACTGCTCATTTGATGAACCTCCTAGCCAAAGACTTCAGTGGTTCCAGAAATAAAGGCTAATGTTGTTGAAATTGCAAAATACTTCTGTAACAACCACTTTGTAGCAGCTGCTCTGAAAAAAGTGGGAGGAACCAAGATGTGCGATGGAACTCAGTAGTGGACTGTTTTGATCACTATAGCAAGAACTGGCCTAATCTGATTAACAATATTGTGAAAAAATAGATGGCACTGTCACAGCCAAAGTTCTCAACATTGGGCTTAAGTGAAATGTTGAACACGTGCTGAGTACCCTGAAGCCTATTTCTGTAACCTTGAACAAAATGCAGGGAAATAGCTGTTTTATTGCTGACGCTGTTGAAATTTGGAAGGAACTGAGTGAGATCTTAAAAGAGAAATATGCAATGACAGAGTTAAATTATAAGCATTAAAAAAACGAATGGGACAAGCACTATCTCCAGCTCATTTTCTTGCAAATATTCTCAATACTCAGTACCAGGGTCAACCTTAACTGCTGCTGAAGAGGAGATGGCTATGACATGGACATCCAGCAATCATCACTCCATAATGCCAACTATAATAAACTTCAGAGCTAAGGGTGAACCATTCAAGAAATATATGTTTGCTGATGATGTTTTAAAGAAAGTCACACCAGTGAACTGGTGGAAGTCACTTAAGCACTTGGATTCACAGACCGTTGAAGTGATAATCTCACTTTTAACAGCAGTAGCTTCTTCTGCCAGTGTAGAAAGAATATTTTCTTCCTTTGGACTAATTCATTCCAAATTGAGAAATCATTTGGGACCTGAAAAAGCAGGAAAGCTTGTTTTTCTTTTCCAGATTATGAACAAACAGGAAAATGAAGGTGAAGACGACTGAGTTAGCTGCAGAACCCAATATTTGAAGTTTCTCATGTTGACCTGGCTGACACAATCAATTTAATTTTTTTTTTAATATTTCATTTAACTATTTTTGTTAAAATTGTTTTTAACTAAAAACAAACCTGATTTTAAAAAACTTGAATGTTTAACTAAATTCAAAAATTCATGCGCTTGTTTTGTTAAAATAGTATATGTTTGCTGTTGAATACACAATGTTGTTGTTTTAGTTAAATAAAACAATTTAAATGTCTGTCTGGTGATGTTCTCCTCCTAATAGAGCATGGCAAGAAAATCCTCCAAATATTAATGATTAACCTGTTGAACTGGAGATAGTTCACCTCCCAATGACTTCATAAATATCTGCTTCAATTACCTTTGGTAAATGAAGTAACCAAACAATCATTCATTTTCTGATATAGCTGTAAAACTAATCTGAAAAGTTTTCAAAATAAATCACTTTAAAAACGTAGTGTGTACCTTCTAAAAATGAAACCTACATCTATCTCTGAGTAGTGAAGAATATGTATTAAGGTTATAACAACCAACAAGAATTCACTTTTATGTAGAAATCCATGATTAAATAGAGTTCCTGACTAGTGATTTAAATCAAATCCACCCTGACTGAGTAATAATTCATTTAAACTACAATACAGAACCGTATTTTCCACACCACTCAGAAGCAGTGCAAAGGCTTGGGGGAGTGAGGGGTAATGGCGGAACTGAGGGAGAAGGAAGTAATTGCTGGGAAGGAGCCTGGATGTGAATTTGGAGGGTTGTTGGGTGTGGGTGGAGAAGTATGGAACAGGCTTTTTTGGAGGGGTGAGGAGGGATTGTTAGGGAGCCTCCCTCATGCAGACCCTGATTGATCCCTAGCCTCTCCCACTCAGTCGCGCACATCTGCGCCTGTCCCCACTCCCTCTAACTCCAAGGGTCTCTGCAGCTTCCACCTCCATCCCCATGTGACCCTGCAGCCCCACTTCACCGTTCCCAGGCTCAACACTGTCATCCCACTAGCTCCTGAGCCCGCCCCCCAGTCTGTCCCCCTGCCCCCCAACTAGCCATTCTGAACCCCAGTCTGTGATCCCCCCAGCAGCCCCATGTACCCACTCTTTCCTAACCGGGCTCTGCGGGCAGTGTGCTGTGATGAATTCCTGGGGGAATTCTGCAATACTAGGTACGCACAGAATTTCCCCTCCCCCGCACAGAAAATACATTTCTGCCCCAGAAGTGATGCAGTTCTGCCTTTTCCCCAAAAGAAGCCGCTGTGGTGCCAGAACAGCCAGCTGCATTCATGCTGCTAGCTGTTCTGGTGCCACAGTGGCCTCTGGTGGGCGAAAGGCGGAATTGCAGCACTTCTTGGGCAGAAATATATTTTCTGTGGAAAAAAATTCTGCGGGACACATGAATTTTGTGCATCTACAGAATTCCCCCAGGAATAGTTTTTGTTTTACTTACAAAAGTAACACAAATGCCAATCTGTATATGTCAACTTTGGAAGTAACCTAACGGAGAAGATCTGAAATAATGTAATATTAAAAAGAATATCCATACCTTTTGTTTCTGAAAGCCAGACCCTTTTTCATAAGATATTCAGAAATATCAATAAGCTGTCCTGCTTCATCATTGCAAAAAATTTTCACAGGTAGTGGTTCAGATCCATCATTTTCCTGAGAGGAATTTAAAATATGGAGGTTACTTATTGTAACTGGAAGTTGTTTGAGATCTCGTCCCTATCTGTATTCCACACGAGGTAACTATGAGCACCAGTGTCTGGAAATTCTTAATAGCAGCATCCGTTGACCCATACATGCTCCGTAGATCTCCTCGTGCTCCCAACTCAGGGTATTAGAGTCAGTGTGGGTCAACGTCTCTCCTCCTTTTACCATCAAAGTTCCTCCTTTTACCACAATCCCACAGGATCTGAAGCAGAGGGGATGGAGAACAGCTAAGAAATATAACTATTTACAAATGTTTTTACAAGTTGTACAAAGAGTTGAAGGAGGACACAATTCTGACTCCGGTTGCGTGGTGGTAAGGAAGAACTGGAGAGGCATCGACCTGCACTGACTCTTATACCCTCTGTTGGGAGCACGAGGAGATCTATGGCTCAAGTGCAGACAAATTGACAGTGCTTTGAAGAATTTCCGGATTCAGGTGCATGGCACACATGCATACCCTATGTATGGAATACACATAGGGACCATCGCTGGAAGAAGAATGTTTGTTATGCAACACATCCAATTAAAACCTTACATTTTCTTAAATACTTCCTTTTTTCAGTTTTAACTCTTTACATGCCATATTAGCAGCCTGCCTAGCCCTTTTGCAGAGGGCACTGCTCCCTATCGCAACCATTCATGACTTCTTCATATCTTGCTCTCTTCAGCTCCTGGCTGTCACAGAGACAGAGACCTGGATCTGTTCTGACACTGCCTCTTGCAGCTGTCATCTCTTAGGGAGGCCACTCATATGCTCCACCCAGGCTCAGACCAGGATGTGGATGTTAGACTTTCCCTCTCCCATTCCTGCTGCTTCCAATCCCTCCTTTTTCTTCCCTTTCCACCTCTTTCTCCTCTTTTGAGCAGCACTGCATCTGACTAGTTCCCATTAGTCTTCCCCTCAGATTTTGACTCCTGGCTCTCTCTCCACCCCCCCTCCCACACTCATCCTTGGTCATTTCAACTTCCATATCGACAATCCATCTGAGCCCTTAGCTGCATGTTTTTTTGCCCACACTTCATTTGACCTGCAACCCTGATTCAACTCGCTGACTCATGAAAACAGCCATTCACTTGACTTGGTCTTCACCAATCACTGCTTTTTCTCTCTCTGAGCCTTCTGTTGCTGAGTTCCCTCTCCCTGATCATCACTTGGTCTCTATCAATCAGCCCCCCGCCCCATACACCCTGTCACTAGGCCTTTTGATGATCCAGCACTGATGACTTCTTGTCTGCCCTCAGCCCTCTCTTTCCTTTCTTCCCTGAATATAGTTGCTGATTCCCTCCATTGCTCATGATAGCGTACTGCTGACTCATTAGCTTCCTCCCATCCTGGCTAACCCCCAGCCCAGTACACTACTCCTGTTCTCATGCTGTAGAGCATCTCTGGTGGAAATCCTAAGACCCTACTGACTTCTTCAGTTACATATTTGTTCTCTCCTTTTTCAGTTCTGCTGTCTTTCTAGCTAAACAATTCTACTTCTCCAATTTAATTGATTCCCACGCCCACAATCCCAGACACCTTTTTACTACCTTTGACTCATCCTCAACCTTCTCTCCCTCCAGTTCTCTGTCTGCACAGGATCACACCAATTTTTTCTAAGAGAAAAATGACAGAATACACTGTGACCTTCCCCCTTCTCAACCCTCTCCTTCTCCTCAGTCAGACACAAATTAATCTTCAGGTTTCTTCCTTTAACCCCTCTACTTGCTCCAGTGACCCCATCCCATCTCCTGATCTCCCTCATGCTCATTCTCATCCCCATCCCTTACTCTTCTCCTTACCCTCTCACTCTCCTCCAGCTCTTTTCCCTCACAGTACAAACATATTTTAGTCTCTCCCATCTTAAAAAAAAATCCTTGACCCCACCTACCTCTCCAACTACTACCCCATCTACCTTTCATCCCTAAGCTCATTGAATGTGCTGTTTATAATTGTTGTCTGGAGTTCCTCTTTTCTGATTCCACCCTAGACCCTTTCCAATTCAGCTTCTGCTTCTTGTACTCAACTGAAACTGATCTTACAATCTCTAATGACCTCTTCTTAGCAAAATCTCAGAAGCAGTATTCCATCCTCATTCTCCATGACTGGTCAGCTGCTTTCACCACAGTTGACCAGGCACCTCTTCTTGAAATCTTTTCCTCCCTTGGCTTCCATGACTGTCCTCTCCTGGCTTTCCTATTACCTCTTTAATCATTCCTTCAGCCTGGCCTTTGGAAGATCCTCCTCATCCCTCTACCATTAAACTTTCTGTGGTTGTTCCACAGGGCTCTATACTTGGTCCCTTTCTCTTTTTCCTCTACACATTATGTCTTGATAAATTGGTTTACAGGGGAAAATACCATCTCTACATTGACAGCTCACAGCTCTACCTCTCTATTTCAAACCTGTCTCCTTGGCCTGTCTCTGACATCTCAAGCTCAACATGACTAAAAACAGAGCTCTTAATCTTTTTCCTCCCAGCCTCCCTGCTACCTCCTTTCTTGATCACTGCTTGTCACTCAGGTAACCAACCTAGGTGTCATCTTCAAGTTGGACCTCACCATAGGTCCTCATATCCAGGCTATGTATCTAACTCTTGCAGATTCTTTCTGAATAACATCTCTTAGAAATGGACTTTCCTATCCACCCACACAGCTAAAACTCTTGTTCGGGCTCTCAGATTCTTGTGTGTCTTGATTATTGCAATATCCTTTTCTCTGGGCTTGACAAATGCAAACTTGCCCCACTCATATCCATTCAAAATGATGCTACAAAGATCATTTTCTTAGACTTTTGCTTTGACTATGTCACCCTCCTCTTTGCATCCGTCCACTGGCTCCTCTTTCTCAATCTTAACACATAAGCTACTTGTCTTCACTTCCAAGGCCCTTCATGACCTATCCACACTCTACCCATCATCTCTCATTCAGTAAACAAAAATCAACTCCCAACTCCAATTAGCTCATGATGCCAGTTACCAATGTCCACTTGTTACATTTTCAAACAAGCACCTTTGTGCTTTTTCCCATGCTGCCCCTGACTCTTGGGAGGAACTCCCCATGAACATCCACAAAGTCACCTCATTGCTTTCCTTCAAATCATTCTCAAACTCTTTTGCTGAGATACATACAAAATATTTGACAACTGTTAGGTTGCTGGTGTGCCGAGACTACCGTCTATCATTCTTCCCAATATTATCTCATTGTTTCCTTGTACTCTCCCATCTGTCTGTACCCATCTGCTGTCTCTCATCTCAGACTTAGATTATAAACTCTTTTGCTCTGATTATACAGTGCTTAGAACTATGGGATCCAGGGCTCCAAGGCACTACAGTAATACAAATATTGCTATTCCTAATAATAGCAAATAAAATATATTCTTGGCCTCTGTTGCTACCTGGGCTTTCCAAAGCAGTCAATGATCCTACAACATGATCTTCAAATTGCAAACCTGAGTCAAGTAAACTCAGTCAGAGGGCTAATAAAATGTTTACTGTCTAATCTGGTTGCTTCTGCAACCTACAAGTATAATCTTTGTTTTAATCTGATAAATGACTATACAACCTAGTGCTCTTCAACAGCCTCTCTCTTAGGTCAGACACTGGGAAAGCTGATCAACAGCTATGTTGACAACTGTATTTCATTCACATTCTAAAAACGCACTACAGCCCACACCACCTCACTAGCTCTGCATTAAACTTGTATATATGACGGGCAGGAGGGGTTACAGAGTAGAACCCTGCCTTTCTCTATAGCAAAGATTACTTGGATAGACTATCAGATACTCATTACTACTCTCTGGTTTCTCTCAGAAGAATGGAACTACTCAAGGGAAACCCTATCATGCCTGGGTCTGCAGATGTATCAGTGATCTCAAAGGCTTAAACAAAAAGTAACCCAAAATATTTGCATTACATCCACTGCTAGTAAGGGTCAAGCACCAACATAATATCCATGCCATATTCAGGTCTAAAACCTGCTGCCAAGTGTAAAAGAAATCTCAAACTCAAATATTGCCACAGTGTCCTTGCTACAATTTGATAACAGTCTTTACTAAAATGGGATAGGGCCATAACTGTTGAGATTGTCAGCTTCAAGAAAATGTTATGCCATTGCTAAGGAGCTAATACAGCCTTAAGAGAACTGAATATTTTGTATTCCCAGATATATGTATTAACGATCAATAGCAGACCAAACATATCCCAGTTTGACTAAACGATCTAGAAAGGACATAGTTTCAAACTTCAAGATATGTCCTGAAATAGCAGCTTTAGTGAGCAACAATGAACAAAACTCAAGTAGAAATGACAGCACATTTGTCTCCACCAGGTATGTTTCTGCAATCACAGACTGATAATCTGTACAAATTTTAACTACCATGGTTTGATTAATGAAAATGTGATATGTTTAAGTAACTAAAAAGGGGCAAACAAGCCCAGGCAGGAATGTTATGTATATTTCTTATTTTGATTAAAGACCTGTATGATGATGTTTGCTATAGCTCCAGTGAGGTAATAGGAGATACAATCACAAGCTGTTGCTGTCCACTGCTTGCTCCCACCAGCTGGTCTAAAATGGAACAAATGAAATTCTGTTTTAGTAAAATAGAGAATATGATTTTAATAAAGGTCGTCAAGGTTTGCATATGAAAAAAAACTACCCACCATCAAGACTGAAAAACTATCAAACCTCCCTTTCTAAGAAAAAAAATTATCCCACACAGTCAACTAAAAAGGAAGAGAAACAATAGTACCAGCTGCTCCAGGATCAAAAAGCATTGTTAGATTTTAAAGAGGAACACTAAAGTAGATTAAGATGGTCTCAAAAATAGAGAGATTTTGCAATATTTTATTAGGAAATGCACTTCAGAAATCTGTTAGAGACAGCTATATTAATGCAAGGTTAGATTTTCCCTCATTATTACAGGACACATTAGTTGAAATGTATCCGGTGGTTCCCCTCTTTCTCCAGAGGTGGCATAGCTTACTCACTTGGGTAATGGGTGTTTGGCCTTCTCTCCCAATTCCTACAGCCTACAAGAGAAAAGAATCCTTCTGTCCCCCACCAACAGACCAGGAAAGGAAAGCCAAATTCCTCCTCTCATATTTCCAAAAGATCCAGTTACTAAGTTGCCTAGGAAGACCAAACTTTAAGTACAGATAAGAAGCAAGCCAGGGGAGCCAAGAAAACAAAGCATCTGTTCCCCCTGCCCTGTCCTGCAGCATGTCCAAAACTTAGTCCAAATCAAAGAACCTTTCCATCCACATCAGTTTATGCTTTACTTGTATATGATCGGACATTAAAAAATACTTCATTAAAAAATTACAATGGCCCTCCCACTATCTTACAGCGTTATTCCAATATACAAGGAATAAATTACCTTATATCTACCAGGGAGCACTCCAGTGCTAGTGTCCCAATTGGCTTCAGCTTTTCATCAAGTTTTCTTAAACAAATGATGTTCACTATTTCTTTAGTACCAAAATCATACAACACTACCTGTGAAAGATAAAAGATCTGAAAAAAGTTCTGAAAAAAAAAAAGATGAAATTCTCAACATAAACAGGATATATCCTCTTCTAAAACAAATGACATACATATGTAAATAATATATGTAAATAAATATGTAAATATGTAAATAAACTACAAAGGAGTTTAAATACGTAAGTGAACAAAAATCAGAAAGGAAATCCAGACAATGGTTTTAAGAGAATATGAAGTATTTTCAAATATGAGGATAGGATGTATATGTAAGCTAAGAGGTCTGCTGGTCAAGAACTATTTTGTTTAAAATATTTTTAATTCCATCACATGTAATTTACTCTGCACTAGACTTGTGCTTCCCCAAATGTCCATTTTCTGAAGATGCTGTAAGTCTCTACATTCATCAGACAATCATAAATGCCAGACTCCTATCTTCAAGGAGAGTTCCCATCTGCTCAGGTTTTACTGGAGATCTGACTGGCCTGATCCTCAAGTTTTTAAGGATAGCTCTGTTTCCCTCCATCCCCACTGAAGAGGCTGGCCTGGGCCACTGAATGCAGCAACTCCTGTATTGCAGGTCTGTTATACTATCACGAGAATCAATGATCTGAGTAGGAGTACTTGTGGCACCTTAGAGACTAACAAATTTATTAGAGCATAAATTTGTTAGTCTCTAAGGTGCCACAAGTACTCCTGTTCTTTTTGCGGATACAGACTAACACGGCTGCTACTCTGAAAAGTGACCTGAGTGTCAATGATCAATACTCATCTTTCACTGCCTTATCTTAGCTCTTGTGTACAATTAAGTTTTGCTGGTTTAACTATGCTGGTATAGTTAAAGTGCCTAGTTCCCTACCCCAGTGCAGATGCAATTATACTGGTATTAATTATTTCAGTTTGGGAAGTGCCTATCAGCCTCCTTTACACCAGAGTAACTGTGTCTACACTAGGGCTTTTACCAGGAAAGCTATGTTAGAAAAAAATTACACCCCCCAATAACTCAGCATAGACCAGCCCTTAAAGAGATATGAGTGTGATGAAACAAGCACCAACACAGAATCATAGAAGATTAGGGTTGGAAGAGACCTCAGGAGGTCATCTAGTCCAACATCCTGCTCAAAGCAGGACCAACACCAACTACAGTGGTAAAGGAGGTCTTTGTCACAGACACCATTTCTTAAATTTTTATGAGTAGAGGTAAGAAACAAGAGAAGCATGCAGAGCCCTATTTCAGCTTCTAATCAGCAAGCAATAGGGGTGTGGTCAGAAAAATAAGAAATGGCTTGATGGAATTTAAGAGAAACCAGGAGCGAGGTATCTGCACGACCACAAAAACTATCCTACTTTACAGATGATAGTAAGTAGCTCTATATTGCAAAATAACTCACCTTCCTTTCTTCATATTCACTGCATGGGTGATTCCTATTAATCGCGCGATAAAAAAATTAATTGCGCAATTAATCGCACTGTTGAACAATAGAATACCATTTATTTAAATATTTTCGGATGTTTTTTACATTTTCAAATATATTGATTTCAGTTATAAACAATACAAAGTGTACAGTACTCACTTTATATTTATTTTTGATTACAAATATTAGCACTGTAAAAAAAAATAGTATTTTTCAATTCCCCTAATACAAGCACTGTAGTGCAATTGCTTTATCATGAAAGTTGAACTTACAAATGTAGAATTATGTCCAAAAAAAATGCATTAAAAAATAAAACAATGTAAAATTTTAGAGCCTGCAATTCCACTTAGTCCTACTTCTTTTTAAGCCAATCACTCAGACAAACAAGTTTGTTTACATTTGCAGGAGATAATACTGCCTGGTCCTTGTTTACAATCTCACCTGACAATGAGAACAAGCATTCAATTGGCACTGTTGTAGCCGGAATCACAAGATTAATTTACGTGCCAGATGCACTAAAGATTCATATGTCCCTTCATGCTTCAACCACCATTCCAGGGGACATGCAACCATAGAATCATAGAAGATTAGGGTTGGAAGAGACCTCAGGAGGTCATCTAGTCCAACCTCCTGCTCAAAGCAGGACCAACACTAACTAAATCATCCCAGCCAGGGCTTTGTCAAGCCAGGCCTTAAAAACGTCTAAGGATGGAGATTCCACCACCTCCCTAAGTAACCCATTCTAGTGCTTCACCACCCTCGTAGTGAAATAGTTTTTCCTTATATCCAACCTAGACTTCCCCCACCGCAACTTGAGACCATTGCTTCTTGTTCTGTCATCTGCCACCAATGACAACAGCCTAGCTCCACCCTCTTTGGAACCCCCCTTCAGGTAGTTGAAGGCTGCTATCAAATCCCCCTCACTCTTCTCTTCTAGAGACTAAACAAGCAAGTTCCTCAGCCTCTCCTCATAAGTCATGTGCCCCAGCCCAATCATTTTCATTGCCCTCCGCTGGACTCTCTCCAATTTGTGCACATCCTTTCTGTAGTGGGGGGCCCGAAACTGGACACAATACTCCAGATGGGGCCTCACCAGTGCCGAATAGAGGGGAATAATCACTTCCCTTGATCTGCTGGCAAGGCTCCTACTAATGCAGCCCAATATGCCGGTAGCCTTCTTAGCAACAAGGGCACACTGATGACTCATATCCAGCTTCTCATCCACTGTAATCCCCAGGTCCTTTTCTGCAGAACTGCTGCCTAGCCACTCGGTCCCTAATCTGTAGCAGTGCATGGGATTCTTCCGTCTTAAGTGCAGGACTCTGCACTTGTCCTTGTTGAACCTCATCAGATTGCTTTTGACCCAATCCTCCAATTTGTCTAGGTCACTCTGGACCCTATCTCTACCCTCCAGCGTATCTACCTCTCCCCCCGACTTAGTGTCATCCGCGAACTTGCTGAGGGTGCAATCTATCCCCTCATTCAGAACATTAATAAAGATGTTGAACAAAACCAGCCCCAAGACCGACCCCTGGGGCACTCCGCTTGATACCTGCTGCCAACTAGACATCGATCCGTTGATCACTACCCATTGAGCCTGACAATCTGGCCAGCTTTCTATCCACCTTATAGTCCATTCATCCAATCTATACTTTTTTAACTTGCTAGCAAGAATACTGTGGAGGACCGTATCAAAAGCTTTGCTAAAGTCAAGATATATCATGTCCACTTCTTTCCCCATATCCACAGAGCCAGTTATCTTATCATAGAAGGCAATCAGGTTGGTCAGGCATGACTTGCCCTTGGTGTATCCATGTTGACTGTTCCTGATCACCTTCCTCTCCTCCAAGTGCTTTAAAATGGTTTCCTTGAGGACCTGCTCCATGCTGATGATGAGTTCTACTTGATAAGACTCCAAAGCAGTGTGGACCAACGCATGTTCATTTTCATTATCTGAGTCAGATGCCACCAGCACAAGGTTGATTTTCTTTTTTGGTGGTTCGGGTTCTGTAGTTTCTGCAGTGGAGTGTTGCTCTTTTAAGACTTCTGAAAGCATGCTCTACACCTCATCCCGCTCAGATTTTGGAAGGCACTTCAGATTCTTAAACCTTGGGTCGAGTGCTGTCTTTAGAAATCTCACACTGAACCCTTCTTTGGGTTTTGTCAAATCTGCAGTGATAAGTGTTCTTAAAATGAACAACATGTGCTGGATCATCATCCGAGACTGCTATAACATGAAATATATGGCAGAACATGGGTAAAACAGAGCAGGGGACATACAATTCTCCCCCAAGGAGTTCAGTCACAAATTTAATTAATGCATTTTTTTTTAAACAAGCATCATCATCATGGAAGCACGTCCTCTGGAATGATGGCCGAAGCACGAAGGGGCATTAGAATGTTTAGCATATCTGGCACATAAATACCTTGCAACGCTGGCTACAAAAGTGCTATGCAAATGCCTGTTCTCACTTTCTAGTGACATTGTTAATAAGAAGAGGGCAGCATTATTTCCTGTAGATGTAAACAAACTTGTTTGTCTTAGCGATTGGCTGAACAAGAAGTAGGACTGAGTGGACTTGTAGGCTCTGAAGTTTTACATTGTTTTGTTTTTAAGTGCAGTTATGTAACAAAAAAAAAATCTACATCTGTAAGTTGCACTTTCACGAGAAAGATTGCACTACAGTACTTGTATGAGGTGAACTGAAAAATACTATTTCTTTTGTTTATCATTTTTGCAGTGCAAATACTGGTAAATAATACACACTTTGATTTCAATTACAATACAGAATGCAATATACATGAAAATGTAGATAAACATCCATAATATCTAATAAATTTCAATTGGTATTCTATTGTTTAAGAGTACAATTAAAACTGTGATTAATCACAATTTTTTTTTATTTAATCGCATGAGTAAACTGCAATTAATCGAGAGCCCTACTATTAATATAATTGGAATGCAAGTCAGTCCTCAGCCACCTCCCAAACTACCAAACCCACTTTTAAAGTTGTTCTGACTTTGATGAGACTTTAATGTTTGCAATAATGTGTAACATAATTAAAACTGAACTCCTACCAAAAGAATAACGATAAATAAGAAAGTAATGATACAAAATGAGCAAACAATAGAATGTGTCTACACCTGAAAGGGATACATTTTAAACTAATTTAATCAAGTCTTATGTTACTTAATGAGATATTTACCTCTACAGTGGTTTCAGAGACAACCCTGTTGATTTTGCCTCTTTGCCATTGGTTCAGATCACATATACGAACAGCACAGTACATATCATTTTCCCACTTCACTTGCTCAAACTTGGAATTTTCATAGATAGCAGCCATCTTTTCCTGTAAACTAACATTAAAAAACCCCATGATATCTAAACCAACTCCTCCCAAGACTAAAGACTTATCCAGTGGTTTGAGGAAGTATTTACCCAGTTACTGCTGAAATACTATGCAATAACATTTCAGTAACTTTGTGGCAGGTACATAGTATTGGAAAAGTAGTAACTATGCTCTAATGTAACTATGTTCTCATAACCACGGAATTCTTTTCAGAAAACTCAGTCCTTTTATGTAGCAGTATTTCTAACCCATTCCTTCTTATACCTTCTTTTAATTTTCAAGAAAGAATAGAGTCTCCCCCCCACACACCCTTCCTTTGGTACCATCAAAAACAGATTTGGAGGAAATCCAAGTAGCATTTATTCAAGAAAAAAGGAAATGGGCAGAAAGAAGCAGAAAAGAGTGATTGGCACAAAATGGCTTACTTCGTAGACAAACTATTTTTTTAGATAGACAGCAAAAATCTTATACAGTGGTCAGGTGGCTATGGCAGTTTGCTACATTAATATTACATAGTTGCTTTGAAGTCTTTACTTGAGGGATGTCTGAATTAGGTGAAATGACTGAGCTTAGCAAAAGATATAACCCAACCCATATACTTCTGTGAAATTCTTGAAAAAAACAAACAAAAAAGCCAACATGTATTATAGCACATGGACAATAAATATCACTGGTTGTTACTGATACTACTTTAGTAAGATTATTAATGAAAGAACAAGGGAGGACACTGTCTTTTTTTTGACTTAATGTTAAATTTCTCCAAACCCAATCCTTACACTGAAGTCAACTGGAGTCTCAATTTTAAAATGGGGCTAGATCAAGCACTTGTGGTGGGGTGTGCTCCCTGCATTGGTGCTGCTAGAGATGAATTAGGCCAGGTGGACCAATCAGCTAATTATGCTGGAGGCAGCTAATTAGAGAAAAGTTCACCTGTGTGGGACAGTTCTACAAACGACAGGAAATTGGAAGCAGAGGGGGGTGTACAGAAGGAATCTGGAGTCACTTCCTGGAAAAGGCGGGGGGGTGTTTGGGTGGGCTGTATAGATAAGTTGTCTAAAGTTACTCCCTGGGAGAAGGGAGTGAAGAGACTGCAAACCCAGAGGACTGGGGAGAGCCAGGAGATATGGAAGCAGCTCAGGGAAAGGCAGGAAGGTGCAGGGAACGGACCTTGGCTGTTGTGTAGAGAGTCCCTGAGCTGGAATCCAGAGTAGAGGATGGGCCCGAGTTCCCCTGCCAGCCACTGCGGGTGTGTCACTGTGAGGCAGTGAAGTAGAAGACTGCCTGACACTGCTGGAGAGCAGGAACTTTGATACACTTCCCCCCGATCCCGCAAAGGGGAAACCACAGTAGTGACCTGGTTGGACGGCTGAGTCACAAAGAGGACAGCTGAGGCTCCCAAGAGCTAGAGAGGGGCTGCAGAGGAGAAATTGATGGAGTGTAACCACTGGAAGAGGTGTGACCCTGACTGAGCTAATCCCCGAACCACCAGGAGGCAGCGTCATTCAGCAGTGAGCATAGCAAGCTGTCACAGCACTATAAGATGTTTAACTGCATATGTATTTAGTGAAACATTATATAGTGCAAAACTATTGCTTCCTACACTATGTTTACTGGAGGGTGGGGTGGGGGGGGGGGAGGTAAAGAAAATGCAATAACTTTGAAAACCAGAAATTGAGTACTGATCCACTGCAAAATAGTAGCTGATACAGTAATTTGTTTCTTTTTTAATTGATTAAAGTGTATCTTATTCTAAAGACAACGCATAAGGCTTTAAAAATATTAACTGATAAAAATGCTTCTATTTTGCTAGTTCTTAGAATACCTTTTCAGTAACCTTTCTGATGACAGCCATTGTACAAAGATCTTATTTGGGGATACCACATGACTGATTCGCACTTGTAGTTCTTTGTTAGAAAGTGATCGTAAATCCCCGTTCTGTAGAGATTTTATGTTTTTAGAGTTTAAAATATCTAATGTTTCAGTTTCAAAAATTTCTTCTAGAGAAGAATCCCATACTTCATTGTGCTCTGTAGCACTACTTTTGGTGTATCTGTATGAAAATGAAAAAATACAGTTTGAGACTGAGTTCATAGTTCAAGTTTTACTTCCATTCCCAACCCTAATATTAGTTAAATGGTAAGGTGTGCTACTAAAATTTAGGCAACAGAAAAGGCTAAAGCTAAAGGTTTCAGAAAACAAAAACAACCCCCCAAAAACAAACAAGCAAGCAAGCAACTCCAGTGTTTCTGTAGGGTTATAGTAACCCCTTCTGCTAATTTTTCCTTGCTTTCTATTGTTTTCTGTATAAGAGAGTTACTCACCTTGTGCAGTAACGATGTTTCTTCGAGATGTGTCCCCCTATGGGTGCTCCACTGTAGGTGTGTTTGTGTCCCTGAGCTTTGATCGGAAATTTTAGATAGTGTCCATTCAGCCCGCACATGTGCTCTCCTTGTCTCATGGCTATCAAGTGCTGAGAAGGTGAACTATCCTCAGTTCCTTCTCTACCGCAGAGCTCGTTCATGAGAACTTCAAAGTAGAAGGGCAGCTCATGGAACACCCATATGGAAACACATCTCAAAGAAGCATCATTACTGCACAAGGTAACACTCTCTTCTTCGAGTAGTATCCCTGTGAGTGTTCCACTGTAGGTGACTCCCTAGCAGTACTCCTGATGGAGCATTGAGGTTTCGGAGTCAAGTTTATTACTGATGTCAATACTGTGGATCTGAAGACAGCATTGGAAGCTGAGTCATGAGGAACAGAATAATGTGCTGCAAAAGTATAAGCAGGGCAGCAATTTGGATGCTGCATATTTCTGCGATGGGGACATTTTAAATAAATGCTACAGAAGTGGAAATGGATCTCTTGGAGTGTTTTCGGACTCCAGATGGAAGTTGCAGATTACGAGAACAAAATCCATTTTGAGAGTCTTTGAGTTGATATTAGCAAAAGCAATGAAGAGTCCTTGTGGAGTCCTTGTGGCACCTAAGACACTAACAAATTTATTTGGGCATAAGCTTTCATGGGTATCACCCACGAAAGCTTATGCCCATATAAATTTGTTAGTCTCTAAGGTACCACAAGGACTCCTCGTTGTTTTTGCTGATACAGACCAACACGGATACCCCTCTGAAACTTTTGAGTTGATATTGCGGATCCCTTGGATCTGTCTGCAATTGAGAGGAACAGTTTAGGAGATTTCCTGAAGTACTTTGTTCTGTCTAAATAGAATTATAAAGCTCTCTTGACATCAAATGTACGTAATATTGCTTCTCTGTCACGGTGAGGCTTTGGGAAGAAGGTGGGAAAGTGAATAAGTTGATTCGTATGGAAGGACAAGATTACTTTGGGGAGGAACTCTGGGAACGGTCTCAGTGTGACCTTGTCTTTAAAGAAAATCGTGAAGGGAGAGTGTGCCATTAGTACTGCTATTTCACCAATTCTTCACACCGAAGTGATAGCCACTAGGAATGTTGTCTTCATGGACAGATACGTAAGTGAGCATGTGGCCATGGGTTCGAAAGTTGGCTTTGTTAAGCCTCAGAGTTAGATTAAGGACCCATGGTTGTGGGGGACATCTGATTTGTGGGTAGAGATTGGTGTGAAAGTAGAGAAAGAACTGACAGGGATTTGAAGGGGATTTCAAATTCAGACAGTCCCCTTATGTGAGCAAGAGTCAGGCTAGCTGTAACCCTAATAACGCGAGATTTGTAGAAGCGTGGATTGTGTGAGGCGAGTGGGAAAGAACCGTATGAGAAGTTGTTGTGACCTTGTGTTAGATAAATATGGAACGTAGACTATAGTCTAAATTGTGGAGGAAAAGAAGATATCAGGATGACATATGTATAAACAAAATGCAGCTGTCGCCCATTATTGTATATAACAAAGGGTATAAATGCTTGCTGTAATTGTTTACCTGGACAGAGACCTGTTTTGCTCTCTCCCTCCACGCAATTGCTAGAGAAAATAAAGTATTTGACTTGCTGCACACAACCTGAGAGTGAGAACTCTGTTTTTCTCCGACATTACTCATACCCTTGAGGAATCTCTTTGCTATCGGATGGGTAAATACTGAATAGACGTCTATTTACTGGTAGAAGGCCATTATGGCCATAAGGTGTACTTTTAGTGGGCTGAGAGATAGTACTATCTTCTTGAGCTCTAGGATGTAGTCTAGTATTAATGGGAGGATGTAGTCTAGTATTAATGTAATTTGTTTCAAATTACACCAGATTTGGAATCTTTCCCACTTTTGTATGTAAGTGTGATGATTTTACTGATTTTCTACTATGTAACAGCATCACTTTCACCTCCTCAGAGCAGGAGTTTTCTATGCATTAGAACCATCGAGGAATCAAGCCTTGAGTCGGAGAACCTGTAGGGTCAGATGATGGATCTGTCTGGTGTTCTGGGAGAGGAGGTGAGGAAGGGTCTGAAAAGTAATTGGTGGGCACTTTGCTAGCTTTGTTAGTAATGAGTACTACATTTGGTACCTCGGCCATGTGGGAACTATGAGTATAACTTTCACTCTCTCTCTTTGAGTAGGATATTCGATATGAGAGGAAACTGAGAAAAGGTGTAGAGGAGCTCTCTGCTCCATTGAAAGAGGAAAATGTCTCCCCCCAATGACTGTCTCCCCAGTCTGTCTCTGGGGCAGTACTGGGGGCGTTTCTTGTTCCCATAAGTCGCTCACAAGTCTATTGTTAGGGCTCCTCAGTAAAAGAATATGTTGTGGAGTACTGTCAGGTCCATTTCTCAATTGAGATCCTGTGAGAATATTTGGCTGAGACTGTCCACTGTTATATTTTGTGCTCCCGGCAGGTAAGCGGCTGATATGAGATTGTTGTGAATGCACCCATTTCATAATTTTACTGTTTCTGTACATAGGGATGGTGATCTCACATCCCCTTGGCAGTTTATGTAAAACATACACGTTATGTTGTGCCTCATGATTTTTGTAGGTGTCTTTTTGATTAATGTTAGGAAATGTGCACAAGCATTCCTGAGTGCCCTGAGTTCCAGGAGGTTGGATATGGAGTGTTGATTCTGTTGGGGGACCATTTGCCCTGAACCTTGTGATTGTCCAGGTGAGATCCCCAGCCCACTAAAGATGTGTCTGTTGTCAGTAACAATGCTGGGGGTGGCTGCGTAAATGGGATCCCTGCACAAACATTCTATGGATCTTTCCACCATTGGAGGGAGTCTTTGACTCTGGAGGGCATCAACAGTGATTTGTTTAATCTGTCTCTTTGGCGTGTATACCAATCTGAGACATAGTTGAAAGCACCACATACATACTCTCGAGTGAGATACCACAAATGTGCATGCCACCATGTGTCCGAGAAGCTGAAGGCACTTTCCGGTTGACGTTTGGGGGCTGGCCTGAACGGTGTCTATTAAGGTGGTCAGGGTGTTGAATCTGGGTAGTGGGAGGAAGGCTCTGGCGTGCACTGCATTGAGATAAGCCCCTATAAATTTCAAGTGTTGCACTGGAGTTAAGGTCGATGTCTGGGTATTCAGTTGTCCCAACTGTGTGAATACCTCCATAGTCTTTTGAGTGGCCCATAGGGCATCATTCAAGGAATGAGCCTTGAGAAGGCAACTGTCCAAATACGGGTAAATCATGATTCCCGATTTCCATAGATGAGCCACCACTACAGATAGAACTTTGGAGAATACTCTGGATGCAGATGAGAGGCTGAATAGAAGCACTCTGTATTGGTAATGATCCGTGCCTAAATGTCTAATGTATGGAGCTGACATTCCTCAGCGGTCTTATGAAGTTTTGGAAAGAAGACAGGCAGAAAAATGTCCTAGTTGTTGAATTGCAACATCACCTTTGGTAGGAAAGCCATATGGTGGCAAAGCTGGACCTTGTCCGTATAAGGGGGTTCTGATGTCAGGGCTTTGATCTCAGAAACCCTTCTGGCTGAGGTGATTGCCACCAGGAAGGCAACCTTCCAAGAGAGAAGCAGTAAGGAACAAGATGCTTGAAGGGAGGCCCTGTGAGCCTCATCAGGACCAGGTTTAAGTCCTAGAGGCAAACTGGGTTGCAAACCTGAGGATAGAGTCTTTCCAAGCCCTTGAGAAACCTGACCATCATCTCGTGGGAGAACACTGATCTGCCCTGCACTGGAGGGCGGAAGGCCAAGATGACTACCAAGTGAACCTTAATAGACAAGACACCAAATCTTGATGTTTTAGGTGGAGCAGATAATCCAAGATAGCCTGCAGAGAGGACTGTGATGGAGAAAGATTCCATTCAGAGGCCCAACAAGTGAAATGTTTCCACTTAGCCAAGTAGGCAGCCCTGGTGGAAGGCTTTCTGCTATCTAGCAAGACATGTTGAACCTGTTCTGAACAGGCCTGTTCTTCGGGGTTCAGCCACGCAGCAGCCATGCAGTCAGATTCAGGGAGGCGAGGTTCAGGCGAAGCAACCGTCCGTGGTCTTGTGAAATCAAGTCTGGACAGGGTGGGAGCTGCCCACAACAGCAGGAAGGCATTGGAGTGGAGCTCCTGCTGAGCCCACACAGCAAACTGAACTGATGACTTTTCCTGCTCTGTCTGGTGGCGAATAGGTCAACACAGCCGGAGAACCTCTTGCAACGGAGCTGAAGATCTGCTTGTTGATGTAAAACATCAAGGCAGTGTCGTCCGTCAAGACCCGCACCACCTTGCCCGAGATCTGGGGAAGGAATACCTGGCAAGCCAAGTGTATTTCCCTGAGTTCCCTGACATTTATATGCAGGGAGAGTTCTTCCTGGGACCAGAGGCCGAGTCCTGAGACTGTCGAGGTGGGCTCCCCACTTAGGTCTGACACGTCCGAAACCAGGCTTACCGACTTATATGGTGTTGCAAAGGGTACCCCCTTTTATTACAGAATGCGTGTCACCCCACCAAATCAGTGAAGCCACCGCGGCCAGCGGAACAGTGAGTACCGAGTTGTGTCTGCCTGGGGAGTAGATCACCATCAGCCATAATTGTAGGGGTCTGAGGCACAGCCACGCATACTGTACCACATAGGTACATGCCGCCATGTGACCCAACAGT